TTCAGTGGTCTGAAATCTTTTCCCTGTCAAAGGTGATTTTAGTTTTGGGAAAAGCCAGAAGTCACAGGAACCTGGGCTCTAAGGGGACTGAGTCACCTGGGTGATTTGATGTTCCACCAAAAAACTCTACACAAGGCATGGTGCACGAGTGGGCGTGTTGTATGATGGAAGCTGTCAATAACCAGTTGCCCATAGCTGTGGCTGTTTTCACGTATTGCAGCTCTCAACCAGCGAAGAACATTGAGGTAGTGCTACTTATTAATTGTTTGGCCTGGAGGGGCATACTCATGATGGACACCTTCCCAATCAAACCACACAGGTAACATGGTTTTCATTTTGCTGCAACTTTGTTGCACCTTCTTCGGGCATGGAGAATCAGGTGACTTCCATTGGAATGGCTGGGTCTTCGTTTCCACATCATAGCCATAGACCCACGATTCACTTCTGGTTATGACCTTCTTGAGGAAATCTGGTTCATTGGTCGTGGTTTGAATCAAGTCATTAGCAACTGCAGCACAATGTTCTTTCTGCTCTGGTAGCAGAAGCTGCAGAATCAATTTCGCTACAATACGTTTCATGCCAAGATCCTGGGTCAAAATCTCCGACGCAGTAGTTTTTGAAATCACCAGATCAGCTTCTGGTTCTCGCACTGTCATTTGCCAATCTTTGTTGATTGCAGCCCATACATGTTCAATGTCCTTAGGTGTTCTACTTATTGCAGGCCTTCCAGAGCATGAATCACTTTCAACAGATTCTTGACCATCTTTGAAGTGTTTGTGCCACACTTTTATTTGTGCTGCACCCATTACATAGTCCCTGAAAGTCTTCTGAATCACCCAGATAGTTTCTGTGGAATAATCTTCAAGCTTAATGCAAATGAATGATGCAGATTCACTGCTCTACTTGTTCAGTCATTTTGAATGTGACAGCCACATAGTGCACATGTTCACTCAGTGGAGTCTACTGCCCCCTCCAATTAGTACAGTGAAGTCATCATTGTTCACACATGTGCTTTCCAGTCCACTCTCCTTGGCTACCAGGTTACATCAATGTTGCGCAAACCATTCTTGTTATATTAACAATGGCTGGACTTCTTGTATGTACCTCACATGTAGTAGCTACTCAATAAACACTGTTTCCCTTGCTCCTTGGGTACTATGGCTGGTACTCAGTTGGTACAGAATGGCACTGGCCACACTCATTCTGATGGGTCCATATCCATGCTGGGTTAGTTGTTAATTATTCCACCTATAAGCCCTGGTTGTAGAAATGTAAACACATTTTCATACAGGACAGGTGTGGATGGAGAGTCTTACATACACAAACCTGGGGTAAGTTTAAAGTGTATTTAAACAGATGAAAATGTTCATATTGAACTTATTTACAAAACAAGACATTGCAATTTTTTAATTGGTAAAATTTAAATTTTGGAATTAAAGAAACCAATGCGAGAGAGAAACTTTGATTGTTGCCTCTCATATGCATCCTTACTGGGGTCGAACCCACAACCTAGGTGTGTGCTCTGACCAAGGAATCAAACCCACAACACTCTGGTGTACAGGATGACACTCCAAACAACTGAGCAACCCAGCTAGGGCAAGATCTTTTCTTAATGCTTCGGGAACAGTCGTTAGGAAGTGAAATGAACTGCCACTGACTACGGTGCTGTGATGCATTCTAAGAACACTGGTTGGCCATGACTGGGTCTGGGGGTACTTCCTAAGCAGCTGTGGAGCCCAGAACTGATCCATAGTCCCAACTGTGTGGGTGCCGTGCCACAGGTCTCCGAGAGCTGGGTGCCCCGTGTTTACTCTGAGGTATCCTGGAAGACGCCCATGGGATATACCTTGGAGAGCCCTTCCAGGTCCTGGAATTCAGTCTCCATACGACTCCTTTGCAGCAGGATATTTTTATACTAGTAATTTGTGTTTGCCACCTAGACAAATTTCTCAAATATAAAATCTACTGCATAAAACTGATTTTTCATCCTCAGTTCTAAAAAGTGAGTTCTAAAAGATCACTGTTAATATTTCCATCAAAATATCACTTAAAAACTCCAATTCTCCAGCTCCTTTTGTGTTTTCTGCCAATTATCTAATTTGAAATTTCTTTACCAGATACAGAGAAATATCTAAAAAAAATCAGCTTTCATGTAACCCAGGTGCAGTTTCACACAAAGATCAGTGTTCTGTCTGTTGAACTAAACTGCATAAACCAGAATGTCAGAGAAACAAATTTCCTATGACCCATTTCCTCTGGGACACCAGGTTCCATCCTTCCTTAGTTTTTGGTAAGTGTGGGCCTGTTGGAAGGCGCTCATTTTTTAGGATTACGGCTCATCCATTAGTGGAAACTGTGTGACATATTTAATTTGTTTTTCCTTCATGACCATACAGCTTATTTGCCAAATTTAGCTATCGCTATTTATTTGGTTTGATTTTACATCTCTTTAAGACATGTATATTTAATATTTAAAATGTTGCCTTTCAAATTCCATCAGCCAATGTTTCTCAAATGTCTATTTCAAAAGAAATAGAGTAGAAGACAAACTCTTCTATAAAACATCATACATGCTCTTAAGGAAGGCAGAGCACACCCAGATGAATAATGAAAAATTCTTTTTTGAAGCAATAAATTGACAGATGCTAAAGAATAATTTGAAAAAATGAATACTCTTCAAGGGACGCTAACTAGCAAAATTGAACAAAAGGCTTCTGGGAGGCACGGAAACTTATTTGTGGTTTTGATAAAGAGAATTTTGAATTAAAGAAAAGTTGTGAGGGAATATGTTAGACAAAGGGGATAACTGACTTCTGTGTAGGGGAAGAAAAACAGCCTTTAAGGCAGAGAGTTGGAGACCATTAAGACAATTGGCTCATTTCTTCTTAATGCTATGAAGATTTAAGATAGCAAAGAATCTATTATATTTAACCCTCACGTCTTCCTTCTAATTTACTGAAAATTCCACCTACTTTTCCTTTGTACAGAATAGCCCCAAAATGCTCTAATATTGACTGTTTAAAAATATTTCCCCCTACATTTCACTTGCTAAATAAGTTTTCATCTAATTCATTTATATAATTGTTGACTTTCTTTTTTTTAAATGACACTAAATAATTGTAGGCCAGGCAAAGTTTGGATATTAACTGACTTCCTCTCTACCCTCTGTTGTTGTTGTTTTTTCTTTTTCCTCTTAAATGGAACAAACTTCCTTCTGCAAAATTTTACTTCAGGCCCACTTTGCTGTTTATGGTCATTTTAGAGATAAAAACCTCATCATCTCCAATTAGCAGGGACATTTCTTAACGCTGTGGAGTCAGGGCTGAGGAATGGAAACCCACATCTCACTGTGCGCTCTGAAGGAGGGGGCGGGGCATCCTTTTTCTGCTTATCACTGACTGAGAAATGGATGGATTAAAGCCGCGAAACATTTCAATGATGTAGGGGAGCAAAGGTGACTTCCTGTTTTGTTTTAGGGGTTGCTTCCTTCTCCTCTCAATGAGGGCTGTTTTCTGACGTTTTGTAATCCTTCTGCTCAGTGATTTCCCACTGAAAGGGCAGGGTTTGAGGGCCTCTGCCGGTCATTCCTTTTACAATACGACCTGAAAAGGGGGGAGGGAGAGGTGGCTCATTAGTGGCAAGAATCAGACCAGGAGGGGATCTGTTTTCTATTTTCTCCTCTAGACTGAACTCATTTGGATGGAAAGGGTTTTATTGTTGTCATCATCATCGTCATTATTATGTGTGGTGTAATTTTCCTACACATTTCTCTCCAGCGTTAGCCGAAGTAGTTGGTGGGGAGTCAAATAATAAGTGCCATTTTATTTCAGGGAGTAAAATCGGGGGGGAAAAATGTCCAAGTACTTTAAAGCAGTTGGTTTTCTTTCCTAAGCTTCAAAAGCAAAACTCGAAAAGTTCTGTCTGCAGGGCAAAGGAAAAAACTAAGAAAAAAGTTTTTTTTTCTTGCTTCTGGTCTTCTGGTGGCCTATTTGCAATTATGTACAACATTTCTTCTTCCTTTTTTCTTTTCTTTTCTTTTTTTAATGAAAGGCAATTTCCCTCCATTAACTTACTCAAAATGCAGACTTCTGCAGTCCGGAGCTCTGGGTTAAGCCCTCACCATTGCCTCAAGGGCCCCTGTTTTCTGCAACTTGGACGTTTTAAGTGGCAGGGCTCCGGTCTCTTCCTCCCCCGCCCCCCTTGTCTGACTCTCTGCAGAGCTCTGGTGATCACAGAGATAAAGCTGTAGTGTGCGTTGCCAGGGAGAGAGGGGCTAGGTGGGTTCCTACGTGGGGAAAAGGGGAGACTCCTCAGTGGGAAACGGGGGCGAGCCCTTCAGGAGGGGGCCGAGGCTGCCCTTGGGAGCCCGCGGGGGCGGCTCCGCGCTGTGGGGGTGGGGAGAGGTGCAGGTCTCAGGCCGGAGTTGTCTGGGGTTATCGCGTCCTCCCTGCTGCTCGGGGCTTCCCTCCCCTCGGCCAACCACAGACCTTCTCTCCCCAGATCCCCGACTTCCTGGGAAGGGGGGCAGGCGCTGGAAGGCTGGGTCTGCACGGGGGGTGGGAGCTGCCTCTCCGGCCTGGAGGTAGGGAAGTGAAGACCCGCGGGTCCGAGGCGCGGACCGCCCTCCGGCCCCTCCGGCCAAGCGGGTCGCTGCAGCCGCGGCAGCTCAGAGCAAGAAGTGGATCGTTTGGCTCAGCGCTCGCTGCACCTCTCCCCACATTAGGAGACTTTGCCCTCCGGGTTCCCTGCCTGCCTCTCCCCCTACACTCCCTCCGCGCCGTCCTCCTCACTGGGGAGAATTTCAGGCTTCTTTTCGCACCTTTTTGCAATCCCGGGGCGTGACGCCCCAGGGCAACAGCTACCTCAGTTGAATTCTACTTTTGTTTTGATTTCTCTCTCGTGTCCTCTCGTCGTCCTCTCCTCCGATTCATTAGCGAAGTCGGACGTTCCTGCCAGAGGGGACGAGAAATAAATAGATGCCGCGGCCGCAGAAGGTTTAGACGTCGTCGGGACGGGGCAGCCGGAGCGGCAGCAGCGGCAGGGGCGGCGGCTGGGGCTCGGCGGCGCTCGTGGGACCCCATTGGGGGAATTTGATCCTAGGAAGCTGTGAGATTGCCGGGGGAGGAGAAGCTCCCAGATCATTGTGTCCAGTTCCAGGGGGGAGGAGGAGACGGCGGCGCGGGCCTCTCGGCGTCCTTGGCACTGCTGCGCCCTGCCCCGTCCTGCCGGGATCATGGTCTGCGGCAGCGCGGGAGGGATGCTGCTGCTGCGGGCCGGGCTGCTCGCCCTGGCGGCGCTCTGCCTGCTCCGCGCGCCCGGAGCCCGGGCTGCAGCCTGTGAGCCCGTCCGCATCCCCCTGTGCAAGTCCCTGCCCTGGAACATGACCAAGATGCCCAACCACCTGCACCACAGCACCCAGGCCAACGCCATCCTGGCCATCGAGCAGTTCGAGGGGCTGCTGGGCACCCACTGCAGCCCCGACCTGCTCTTCTTCCTCTGTGCTATGTACGCGCCCATCTGCACCATTGACTTCCAGCACGAGCCCATCAAGCCCTGCAAGTCTGTGTGCGAGCGGGCCCGGCAGGGCTGTGAGCCCATCCTCATCAAGTACCGCCACTCGTGGCCCGAGAGCCTGGCTTGCGAGGAGCTGCCGGTGTACGACCGCGGCGTGTGCATCTCTCCCGAGGCCATCGTCACCGCGGACGGAGCGGGTGAGTCTGACCCTGCCCGGCCTCTGCCCCGCCTCACAGCCCGCTTACTTCTCGGTGTCCTTGTTACTAGTCTTTCTTCTCTAAGCCTTTTTCTCTTTATAACGCTTCTCTGAATCTCCCCCTTTTTTCCTTTCGCCTCATCACCCTTCCTATCGGATGCACTCTCTTCCAACAGGGGATGTGTTTCTCTAAAATACAGTTTATTCCACTCCCATCAGACTTCTGCTCATGCCTGACCCTTCTTCACTTGCCACTCTTTGCATGTGAGAATGACCAGATCTTGTATAGTGATGCTCTTTTCTCATTTTATTTGTTTACAATCACTGAGCTTTCTTGCCCGATTCCCTTGCTTTCTCTATCATCTGTGTCTGTAATGTTTTAGATGCTTGTCAAGATTGTATGGTGCAAACACCATGTTCTTTTAATCATTAAAAGTGCCAAGATAATTTCAGTAACCTTACTCTGACCCACAGATGTTAGTGGTATGTGTTTGCTCAAAATCCAATTTGAGCAATTACCTTCACCTTAAATTTCCCTCTCCTTTCAATGAGATAAATTGTTCTTCCATTCCAGGCTGAAACAGCTGTGAAACATTGCTATGCACTGCTAATTAGCTTCTGTGACTTGCTCCAGCCACAGAGCTGGCAGAGTGAAATTGCTGGGTGCATTTCACATTCCCACATGCCTTCAAGTCATTTTGCAAATGACATATGGATGAAAGGAGTTATATTTAAGGCATGTTATCATCACACACTCATGTAATGTTATTTTTAATCTCACCTCTTATCCCTCTCTTATCCTCTGCAAATAATTTGTCTTCTGTATCTTATTTCATGCTCTTTCTCTGTGTGTACATCAACCACACATCCACACATTCATTTCAATCTTTCCCTACCATAAAACTTTATTGCAGTTCTACATTTAATGGAATGAACCACAAGTTGTTTTCTCACTAGTGTTTGGTCTCATTATGACAGTCCTAACTCTTAAGACCCCCAAGTAAATCCAGTTCATTATGGTCCGTTCAATTCTAACTCAGTATCACTCCTACCAACTCACCCAAACTCAGATTTCACCCTTCATATACTTTGAAAATAAACTCAATCTTTTATGATTGGTCCTCTTTCATACCCTTTTCAGATCAGCTCTGTCCTTGAATGTGAGGGCTGAACTGCCTCCATCTCTGTTCATTTCTTGAGCATCAACTTTTCCTTTCACCTCTCAATGTGCTCAGCCTAAGGTTATGTCCTCAGTCCATTTCTAGTTAAAAGTTCTTGGCTGTCAGGGAACTGATTTGAAAAAATTGCTTTTTGTGCATATTACTCTCTTAATACAAAGAGTGGAAGGGGAAAAGTACTTACACAAATAGTCACAAAACCAAACCTGAACAGAAACATTTCAAGAACTGTTTGATGGTCACCTCACTTAGTCTTTGAATATACCTCTTGTCTTCCTGATTTTAACCAAGAACCAGGAACTGGTTGTATGAAGTAATCAGAGAGAAATGAATTTGTTATTACTCTTTGGACTAAAAGCGCACTCTTGAGACTTTGAACTCACTAGTGTCATGGGGTGCGCAGACTCTGGAAGAGCTTGGTGAGTTGCTGCCCTGGGTTGCCAGGTACTTAGAATCAGTTAAATGCTGGTGTTCATCTCAGGCCAGGGTCTGGGAATGAGGTGGCCAGGGTTCACACTGCAATGCATTCCTCCCCTTAAAGGAGAAGGCTTGCTCTGAAACCTCTCAGAGCTGGCCCTCAAATGAGAGGTTTGGCAAGGTTAATGGCTCTCAAAAGCCATAGTCAATGTGGATGGGAAGCAGTTTCCTTAAGTGTCCCTGAGTTACCTAAGTCATTGTGGACCAAATACAGAACAATTGCCTCATTGAAGCACTCAAATAAATAGGACATGCATGGAAACAATTTGTCAGTCCATGGGACCTGATTTCTGAGCTGCTTTAAAATGCCGTAATATCTGTTTTGCTGACAGCATCCTTGCTAGTAGAATAAGCAGGGGTAGGTGGCAGCTGGAACCATATTTTGGTCATGGTTCCCCCCCACCCCCACCTTTAACTTTAACAGTGTGAATCAGTCTGTTGTGGCAGGAGGGAGCTGAAGGGGTTTGGGGGATGGGGAATGGAGGGGTGGATTCTAGCCTGAAGGGTCCCCTTGGCTTCCAAGGCCAGCTTTCTGAAAATTACATTCTCTGTCCTGGGTCAAACTGTCAGGCACCTGGAATTGCTTAGAAACTACTGCATGTGGCCAGTTTAATTTATGATGCAAATATTCTCCTTGCTTCAGTGGGATATGATAGTTCATAAAGCTGGATCCCTCCACCCCCACCTTCCTCCAGGTATAAACAGAGTTCCTATGTCTTCTGACCAGAACCCAGCTGACTATAAAAATAAGGTCTTCCTGAATAAAATGCGACCACCTTTCACATTCCTTCAATGCCAAGAAGACTTTTTTAAAAAATCCTACCATTCACATGGATGTGTTTCCTCCTAGTGCAGTATGACTGACTCCACAAACAAGTTTAGCACATTTTACAAAGCAAAGTCTTACTGCAGTGGAGTATTGCTTCAAATTGCTTTTTGCTTTTGAACTACTAAGGACACATCCTATATTTATAAAGAAAAGATCATATCCTGACCATTGCTAATAAATTCACATGTAATTTATTGTTTTTCCACATTTTACATTTACTATATAGTTATGGCTACATGCAGGACTGCTTTATCTGAGAATTTTATCAGTTCAAGTTAGCCATTCAGCCAGTTAATTAAGATATTTAGGCAAATCTTTAATATTGTATGGTGGGTAGAGAGTATGGACAGACCAGTTGTTGAACCTTGATTCTGTTTCACGTCAACTGTTACCAGAGAGAAATTATATAACCATTCTGATTCAAAGTGTTCTGACCTGTAACATGGGGATAATACTGTCTACACCCGATAAGCATGGTGAAGATGAAATTAAACAGCATATATATTACCTGGTTCTTGGCCCTTAACAAACTGCTGCTGCTGCTGTAGCAGTTTCAGTAGGATTATGATGGTTATAGCATAGCAAAGTGCCATTTTTTTTGTTCATTTGTTTTCAGACATGGTACATCGGTCATTGTAGATAGAACTTTTATCAGTTCAGGTCTGGAAAACAAGCTTCGCAGTGGGACCCAACTAGAAAAGCAGATCTTCTGGTACATAAGCTTAATATTTCTTTTTATACACATCGACCTGGACCTCAGGTTCTAGAACAGATTCCTTTGGGATCAACAGGAAAAAAGAATGAGTCTGATAGATGTCTGTTAGTTACAAATAGTTTATCTCAGAAACTTAGAAATCATGTATTTAAGAAAATTTATGGTATGATATTTAACAGCTATTTATACAACACCCATAGCTTCCCATGCCAAGGGCTTTATAATCACTCCTCAGTCATTGCTGGCCTCCGTGGCAGTGTTAACTTGTCACCCCAGCTCTTACTCAACACGTTTCTCCAGGCCCTGTCTCGCCGGGCAGAGCTGGGCCAACTTTCCCATGCATGAACTGCTGTTTAATCATTTCTCCACTCTCTGAGGAACAGGCAGTCTTTTCTTTAGCCCTGGTCTACAAATATTTGAGGGGCCAAATACTAAGAAGGAAGACTTATTTAGTGTGATAGGAGGAAGATGGAATGGAAAGGAGAAGTGGAAATTTTAGATTAAAACTGGAGAGAAAACAAGATTTTAAGAATCCTTCATCATGTAAAATATTGAAAGGCACTCTGGATGGGGCAGGGAAGAATATCTCAAAGTGTTATTTAATTTACAGCTAACCCAATTATCCGTGGTCACCAAATCTTATTTTAATAATTTGTTTTTTATTTTGTTCCCCACAAACTTCCAAATAGTTGTTGCTATAAATAGCAAAATTGACTAAATTATAGTTGGCTGTTCTCTTCCTACTAGATGTATAACAAGAGGAGATCAAGTGCCATCATATAAACATGTAGAATAATTAAAAGGTAGCTATATTTCTTAATTTGAAGAAAATCACAGCTCGAGAGTTATAGGCCCTGAGTTGGAATTCCAGATTTGCTATTAACGTTGCACCTTGAGGAAGTCATTTGCCATTGACATTGGGGACTGTGAAGAACAAAAGAAATATCCATGCAAAGTGATTGGTAAACGGTAAAGCATAATTACAGATGTTTAATAACAACGTGATTGTGGGGAAGACATATGATCCTCAGGAGAGGGATCATTAGCAGCAACAGAGTAAAAAATAACACTTTGCATGTTCTAGGTGCTGTTTTAACTGTGTGATGCATATTAATTTATTTAATTATCATCATAACTACATGGTGTGTAACTGTTTCCATTTTGCAAAAGTGAAAGCTGAAGCAAATAGAGAAGATTATTTGAGTGCTGTTGTCCAAATAGAAGTGAGTGACTTGTCCAAGTTCATAAAGCTAATAAGAAAAAGAAGATTCAAACTAGAACCCATTCTACATTACACTTATTCTCTTAGGAAGAAAGAGGGGATTCCTCACTTTAGAGAGAATCTGTCCTTTGACCATCAGATTACAGTTAATGGAGTGTTTTTATCATTGTATTTTGAAAGCCCATTTATATAGAGATGCTTCTTGACTTATGATCGGGTTACATCCTGATAAACCTACAGTAAGTTGAAAACACTGTAAGTTGAAAATGTACTTAATACATTTAACATAGCGAACATCATAGCCTAGGCTGGCCTACCTTAAATGCTCTCAGAACACACTGTCCAAAAAATGCTGGCAACATAGTACACTGCAGAGTATCGGTTGTTTACCCTCATGATTCCCAGCTGGGAGCTGTGGCTCAGAGCTACCCAGCATCACAGGAGAGTAATATCCTGCATAGCGCTAACCTGGAAAAAGATCAGAATTCAAAATTTGTGGCATAGTTTCTACTGGACAAGGGATTTCAAGAGATAAGATATAATGACCTCTTTTGAGATATCAGAGAACATAACTTTCCATGTTTTCCCATCTCTCCCTTAGCCCCTCAATCTCAGCAGGCTCCAGAGTAAATTCATCATTCCCTTACTCTCACAGGTTGATTCTTTTCTAGTATTTTCTATATTGCTTTGGCCACTACCACCCTCATACTCCAGGCCTGAAAGTCAGCCTTGTTTCTACCCTGTTCCTCATCTCTGACATTCAGTAGTGGTAGTGAATCTACTCGGAATCCAATTCCCTGCCTTCCTTCTCTACCGCTACTTTCTTAGTTTGGACCTCACCATTTGTCACACGGATTCTGGTCATAAGATGATAACTGGCTCACCTCCTGTACTGCCCCTCCATATCCTAACCAGGTGATCTTTATGAAATGCAAATCTGTTGCTTAAAATTCTTGTTGCCTGCCTCTAGACTTCATGATCTCATCCCTTCTCAGCTCTCTAGCTTCATTTTGCTCAGCATACACCTCTAGGTTAGCCATGCTGGAAAACTTGCAGGTCCCTTGCTGAGCATGGACTGCGGTTCCTGATCCCCATACCTTTGCACGTGCTATTCTCTACCTGTAAAACACCCCCTACTTTCCCCAGATTCTTTAAGGACTATTTTTCTGGAAATCACTATGACCCCTACTAGAAATCCCTGGGGCAGAAAACCAACTAATACCTGTCATTTTAGTTGAGGAGCATTTCGTTAGAATTTCTAAGTTTAACTTTCTAAAAGCATTTTTTGAGTTCTTTATAATGAGGAAACTTTGGTTTTTCTCTTTTGCAATTCTAATTATTGACTTTGAAGCACTTTAAAAAATATAGAAACATTTTTCTGTGACTAAGCATGAAAGAAGAAAACCACTTTCCTAGATTCAGCTGGTTCAAAGTGGCTTTCTTTTCCAAGAGTTTATTTTTTTCATTTGTATTTCAGCCTTTTAACACTAAACAGTTATTTAAAATGTGATTTATGTGATTTCTTAATTTACAGAGAGATCATATAAATCGTATGCATATCATCACATGATTATTGGACTTACTCAGGAATGGAAAAACAAATGGCACATGACTTTAATACCTGGGTATATTTATCGTGAATGAAGTCCTTGAATAGAATAAAAGTCATTAAATTCACAGTATATGACTAAGTTGAACCAAATATTTTAGAATCAAGTACTTGTTGCCTGCTTATTTATTTATTTGGTAATTGCTATCTTTCCTTAGATATAGCTTTTTGATTATCAGCTAATGATTATTAAGCCTGGGAAAATAATTCATTAATTGTAATTTTGAGTGCTGTTGTCCTAAAATAGTATTAACTCCTCCTTGTTTAATGTATTTATAATACGAACTATGAAGAAAAAGAAAGAATGTTATTTTCTGCTAGGGTAAAGAGAGACATTAAACTCATTTAACATAAAGTGTTAATACAAATATAAAACTCTTGTTTAAAAGTACTGAGTTGAAGTGTCAATAAGAATATAGAGGTAGGTACAGCATCTCTCAGCATGGTGCTTTGTTGAGGCTCTCAATGTTATTCATTAGAGGCTGCTTTATTAACTAGAATGCAGAACTTTACATTATTACCATTTATCAGTGCCATTTTCTGTAATTATGGGATTAGGAAAAGAGTGAATGGTGATTTCCAATCACACATCTATTTACACTGGTTTGAGTAATCCTTGGATGGTAGGGTTCCTTTTACTCAAGAACTGTTTAATCTATAGTTAGCAAAGAGCATGAGAGTGCTTTCTGAAAGTTTTTTCCTTAGGTGCTAAGACTTTAAATGTATTCCATTGAAGTGTGATACTTCTGTTTATTGAGGAGGTGTGTTTGGTTCTTTTAGGCATCACAAGGTAAGTGTTGGGTGAGTGCCTAATATGTGTAGGATGCTCATAATTCACAAACTTTATTTATTAAGTCCTGAAATTTTATGCACAGTTGATGAGGATTCCCAAAAATACATTATCTTTCAACCCCGTGAAAGAATAGGTATTGCCTTTATTTGACCTATAAATGACAGAGTGACAGCCTCGTGACAAAGAAGAATCCTCTTCCTTGAGACACCTGCTTCTTCCCTAAATCATGCCTATGACTGATACAGATTTTTATGTGAAAATTTTTGGAATAATAATGAATTTGTCATGATTCTTTATTCTATCCCCTTTCAGATTTTCCTATGGATTCTAGTAATGGAAACTGTAGAGGGGCAAGCAGTGGTGAGTAGTACATCACTATCTTTTGGGGTTTCATTTGTAGTCAAATTAACCTTTGATATAACCTAGATGCTCAAGTCTTATTTGGGGACATTTGTGTCCTGTATTTTAAAGTAAGCTTTTAAAATTATTTAGTATTTATATTAATTTTATTAAAATTAGCATCTAATAAAATTGACCCTTTTGATCATTACAAATTCTATATATTTTATGAATTCTGGGAATTTGAATGCATGTGCAGACTTGTGTAACCATCGTTACCATCAGGATACAAACAGTTTCATCACTTCAGTAAAAACTTCCTCAGGCTATGTCTTTATAAATACAAGCTTCTCTCACCATGGTGATCACGGATCTATTCCCCATCCCTATATTGCCCCTCCATATCCCAACCAGGAGGGGTTTTCTTTTTTGAGATTGTCATATAAATGGAATGATATGACATGTACCCTTTTTGAGACTGGCTTTTTTTTCCCACTCAGCATATGCCTTTAAGATTCATCCAAGTTGTTGCCTATATCAATAGTCCATTCATTTTAATTGCTGAATACTTCATTACTTGGATGTGTTAACCATTTGTTTATCCATTCATGACTTTAAGGATGTTTCGGTTGTTTCTAGTTTTTGTCGGTTGTCAATAGAACTATATGATAAGCATTCGTGTCTAGGTTTTTGTATGAACATAAGTTTTCATTTCTTTAGAGTAAATATATAGGGACAGGATTACTGGGTTATATATGGTGAGGGTATGTTTAATTTTATAAAAAACTGCCAAATTGTTGCCAAAATGGCTGTTCAGTTTTGCACTAGCCATGTCTAAGAGTTTTAGTTGCTCCACCTCCTTGTAAGCACTTGGTATTGCCAGTTTTTAAAAATTTTTAGACATTTTAATAGGTGTGTAGTGATAGCTCATCATGGTTTTACTTTGTGTTTCCCTAATGGGTAATAATGTTGAATGTTTTTTCATGGTCTTATTTGCCATTTGTATATATCCTTTTGGTGAAGTGTCTGTTCAAGTCTTTTGCCTATTTTAAATTGGGTTGTTTTCTTTGAGTTTTGAGAATTCTTTATATTTTCTGGATATAAAGAACCGTTTTTTGGCTTTGCTGTTTTTCTGTTTTCAGTTTTATTGATTTTTGCTCTTTAGTATTTCTTTCATTCTTCCTGCTTTCAATTTGTTTTTCAGCTTCTTTTCACCCTTGAGGTAAAAGATTAGATTATAGTTTGAAACTTTTCTTTTCTAATAATTTAATACTATAAGTATCCCTCTGAGATGGCTTTAGTTGCATCCCACAAATTTTGATGCTTTATTTTTATTTTTCTTCAGTTTAAATATTTTTTAGTTTCCCTTGAGACTATGTCTTTGACTCATGCATTATTTCGGGTTGTGCTGTAAAAAACTGGCTGCTGTTTGGAGATTTTTGCTTGCTTATGTTATTAATTTTTATTCTAATTCCATAATGATCAGAACATGCTTTGTATAATTTTGATTCTTTTGAATTTGTTAAGATTTAATCTGTGACCTACAATATGACCTCTGTTGGTGAATGTTTCATGTGCACTTTGGGGAAAAATGTACTCTCCAGTTGTTGTGTGGAATGTCCTTTAAACATCTATTAGATTAATTGATTCATACTCTTGTTTAATTCTTTTATATTCTTGCCCCCTTTCTGTCTACTGTATCTCTTGATCACTGAGAGAATGTTTAAGTCTCCAAATACTGTGAACTTTTTAAATTTTTCATTTCAATTCTGTCATTTTTGTTTCATGTAATCTTAAACTCTATATAATTTTGGTACATACACATTTAATATTTTTATGTCTTATGGGTAAAGTGACCCAGCATGGTGTAATGTCCTTCTTTATCTCTTGTAATTTTCCCTGCCATAAAGATTACTCTCTTTGATATTAGTATAGGCACCCCGATGTTTGCAAGGTATATCTTTTTCTATCCTTTTACTTTTAACCTATATATTGTTATATTTAAAATACATTTTATTGTAGACATCATATAGGCGGGTCATTTTTTTTGTTTTTTTTTAATCCATTTACCAATCTGTGTCTTTTGATTAGTGTGTTTAGACCATTTGCACCTGATGTAGTTATTTGTATGTTTGTATTTAGACCTACCATTTTATTATTTTATGTTTGTTTCCTCTCTTTTTCATTCCTGTTTACTATTGCCTGCTTTCTTTTGGATTATTTGAATCTCTCTCTCATCTGTCATACATACTCCCATGAGATAATAGTATATATATTTTTCAACCATTAATGCTTCTTTCAAACATTGAATATGTTTTCAACAATTCAGAAGGAGAAGAATAGCCTACTGTATGTACACATATGTTTATAATTTCTCTTGTTCTTTCATGATGTTCCTGGCCTTCCTTCTGGTATCATTTCCCCTCTGTCTGAAGAACTTCCTTTAGTACTCCTTTTAGAGAAAGCAGTTGTAGTGACAAAATATTCTTTTTTTCCTTCATCTGAAAATGCCTTTACTTCACCTTCATTTCTGAAAGATATTTTCACTGGATGTAGAATTCTGTGTTGGCAGTTCATTCAGTGTTTAAAAAATGTTATTCCACTTACTTCTGTCTTCAGTGTTGCTCATGGGAAATTGACAGTCATTCAAATCATTGCTCCCCTGTATATAATGCATCGGTTTTTTTATTGCTTTCAGGATTTTTAAAATTTTTGTTTTTAGCATTTTGATTATGATGTATCTGGATATTGATTTCTTTTAGTTTATCCTGTTTAGGAATAACTGAGCTTCTTGAATCTGTAAATTTATACCTTTTGTCAAATTTGCAGAGCTCTCAGCAATTACTTCTTCTCTTCTCTTCTCTTCATCACTTTCTCTTCTACTCCTATGATGACATAAATGTTAGAACTTTTGATATTGTCCCACAGGTCTCAGAGGATCTGTTCATTCCCACCACTCGAATCTTTTTTTCTTTAGGTTAGATAATTTCTATCACTCTGTCTTCAAATTCATTGACTCTTTTCTTGGTTATCTCCATTCTGCTATGAACCCATACAGGGTATTTTTAATTTCAGTTATTGTAATTTTCAAAATTAAAATTTACACTATGTTCTTTATTACATCTTGTATTTATTTGTTAAAACTTTCTCTCTTTCCATTTATTTCAAGGGTGTTCACCAAAATTTTTTGGAGAATATTTATAAAAGTTGCCTTAAAGTTATTGTTGGATAACTTCAACAGTGGTGTCATTTAATTGTTTTTTCCCTATACAAATTGAGATTTTTTTCTGGTTCTTCATATTAAAAGTAATTTTTTATTTTATTCTGGACATTTTGAATATTATATTCTAAGAATTTGGGTCTTATTTAAGAATAAATATTTTTGTTTTAGCAGGAGTCAATTTAGTTGGGTTTAGGCTGACTAGTCTTCTGTGCGTTGTGATTTTGGTATCAGTTCCATTTCCAAAGCCTCTTCAATGCCTTTCAGATCTATCCCATGTGTATACCAGCCAGTGGTCAGTGTGAAATCAAAGCAATGATCTATCCTACAGTTCAGTTTTCAAAGTCTGTAGTGTAGTTGTTTAGTGTCAGATTCATACACAACCAGGCGAGAACTCAACAGTTCATAAACAATTTTATGGGCTTTTGCCCAATCTTCTCTCTCTTTGTGATCTCCTGAGTACTTTTCAGTTCCTTGGGGGCTCCCATTTTTGGTCCTTTGGCCAGAAAGCTGAGGTTCAAGCTCATCCTTCTCTGTGAGGCACTTCCTGTGACTGCTTCTACATCTGAGGCCAAGTGGTAGGAGGACGAGACCATGTGGATTTGCCCCAGTCTCTTGATACCACATGTCCAATCAACAAGGAAAGTTCCCTACATCTTAGGCTTGTGAGGGCCTCCCTTGCTGAAATGTTGCTGCTACCAGGGTCCCAGGATTGCATCAGGAATAGAGTACACGACAATAGAGTGTTAGGAGACCCGTTTCCCACTTCCTGAGTCAGATCTGGAGGGCTTCTCCGGGGCACTCTCTGCGTCATGCCCACTTCCTGCTTATGGACTGTGTTGAAACTTACCTGAGGGGTAGAAATGATGAACCCATCACCAGTTGATGGTACTGGTCTTCTTCGCCAATCTTCCTGCTACTGTTTACTTTTCAGAGTCCTTAAGTGGTTTCATGCCTTCTGTTCAGGTTTATAACTGTATTCAGTGGGAAAGACACAACAGAGTCTACTTACTCCATCTAATCAAAAATAAACTTGTAAATGAAGTATGACTTATGTGCAGAAAAGAGCACAAATCATAAAAGCATGCAGCTCAGTGACTTTTCACAAAGTGAACCCTCTTATATAACTACCATACAGATCAAGATATATACCATTACCAGTGCCCAGAAGCCTCCCTGTGCCTCTTCTGTTGTTACTTCCATGCTTCTGCCCAAAGATAACTACCAGCAGGAAATTCTAACATCATATATTAATTTTGTCACATTTTGAACTTTTATGAATGACATCCTACAGTATACATGTATTTTTGTGTGCATGCATGTGTGTGTGTGGCTTCCTTTGCTTCTTATGCTGTGTGTGGCAGTACTTTTAAATTTTCATCGTCCTATATCATATAAATATGTGACACTTTATTCATTCTAATGTTCCTCAATATTTGGGTTGTTTCTAGTTTTTGTTACTATGACTAATAATGCATTTGTTTCTTTAAGAACATTGTAACTATAATTAGTTATTATATAACATTCTATTTATTTTCATTTAGTAATTTGTACTAAGTTGGGTCTGTATCTTGCCTTGTAGGGCATTTTATATGTGGAAGCAGAAAATAAACTAAGATTTATAAAATTTATAATCATTAAACATTAAAATTAATTTTACTAAGTTTGTAAGTAAGTTTGAAACATCTTTTTCCATTAGGTTGGAACAGTTTCACTGTTGATTTCCACTGACTCTTCTCAGAGGGATAAGTGCTTAAGCCGAGACAACGTCTAACCAAGGCTCCCCAACTAACGTTATCCT